ATCTTTTAGGGAAAGACAGTGTTCATTATGCAGATGACTTTAAGTCCCGGTGATAGCCGCGAATACTTCTTCTTCGCAGTAATTTACGGTCACGTCTATTTGTACCATGACGCTCTACAATAGCCATCCCTCACGCGGGTATCTTTTTGTAACAGCCAGTGGTCACGCAGATATTTGTATAAGTGATGCTGTCAAAAATGACTTTAAAAAATAGAAGAGGTAGATTGACAGGCAATTGGTGATGTAGAACACGTAATTACTAAGGCATCGTTTGGTGCAACGCAACATAGCTTGAGCACATTATTTTTATATACTAAATGTAGTTTTGCTTTGAGTAAGGGTTTCTGAGCTCACCGCAGCGCAGCGGAGGTGGTCAGCCCTCTCTACATCAATCAACCATGCCCTAGCGTCCGCGGAGCGGGCGCCCAGGGCGCTAGTCTTATTATCTTACCCCTCTAGTGGAGTGTGTTGTCCGTCAGTCCGGCCGCGGCTAGGGTTAATAAAACCCGCGCTAATACGCGCGTTCTACTGGCTGCCGAGCGCAGCGAAGGCGGCCTCGATTCGCTAAAAAGCTGCCGAGCGCAGCGAAGGCGGCCCCCATTGGCTAAAATCGACATTGTGTTTTGTACACACTGTTTGTGGACTACACATCCTACTTAGAAGCACTGCTCAAATTTCATTTTGCTCTCATAATCAGGTGCGGTATGCAAGGCCGCACAAAGGGCGCTGCCTGTGTACGCGTTAGCTAGCATAATTAAAAGGCACCGATAAGCACACACGTACTATATCGGCGTTGGAGCTGTTGAAAAAAATTGAAGGCTTTGGTGACGTATATTTCGGCCTCAATCAAAACGTTAGGTCTTTTTGATAATAGAATGATGCTTTTCGCTTCGTAGTTCTTTTCTAATACTTAAACTTACATTACTGTTTTGAAAAGTACTACTAAGACATTTCAGATTTGTTCTTGCAGATATTAGTAGTAATAGTGCAAATATTTATTAAATCAGCGTTAGAAAAATAACCACAATTTTATTACTAATAATAATAATATGAATACTTTAAAATAAGATTATTGTGGCTTACACCCCTGCACTTCACACTGCCCCCATGAAAAAGTATCATCTTCCTTTGTATTTGTGCACGTAGTGTGCGACCTTAAGATATTGTGTGAGCTTTCCAACAATATATGCTTGTACATCAAACAAAATCGGAACAGCGTTTGTGATTCAGCTAGCGCGGAGGCACGTGACTAAGCAAGAGCCCGAAATACGAAGTAACACCATGCCACAATATGTACACGATAGGATAAAAGAGCCACACGAAGCACGGAAGACCATGGACGATGCTAGAGGACTTAGCCGATGCAATCCATGATGTTTTATACGTAGCGTGAAAGATGGAGAAGTACGCAGCCATGAAAAGGACAGAAGGACAAGAATATGACGGGAGCGTACGGGCCCCGAAAGGGAACTAAATATATAGACACCCCAGCAAGTTAAAAAGCGCGGCTACGGAAGAGCATGCACGCTCGAAGCCACGTTAGAGCATGTAACGGTAGGAGTGCCCGGACAGAAATTCACCCATAGCACCACGGCTGAACACGGAGCACAGTCGACCAACCAAACATGAAGCCGCGGAAGACCATTAGCGGGAGGTTGTCGAGTAGTGAAACACGATACCAGGGTAGAGCCGGAGCTTACTGGGGAGCGCGATACGACTGTAGATAGCGAAAGCTTGGACGTCAGACCAACCGCGACACCAAGAGATAGCACGATAGCATAGACGATGGGCCAGCCACTAAAACATGGGAGAACAAGAAGCCACGGGAAATCACCGATCCACTGAGCACGATAGGACTGTAGAGCTTGAGATCGTCGGGCCACTAAGGACGATACTTCATTTAAAAAAACACGCTTACCCGGACGGCCTACCAGCCACAAAAGCGCGGGGAAACGCTCCTGGAGACCACGATTGCACACCGCGGAGCACGGAACCATCGTAGAACGCGATAACATTGACAAAACATATATACTATGCAATCACGATAGCATAGACAGCATAACCACATTGTGATTGCACGATAGCGCAAAAACGCGGTAGATGGAGCCACCACAGGGGTGCGCGGCACACAGGTGACAGAAAACTTCGGAAGATCACCCATTGGCGAGGGTAACCAGAAATGAAACGCTATCTACCATGAATGATTATGGACACGAAGCCTGTGGAATCCACGTAAACATTTGAGAACACGGAATATCTAACAGCCACGAAAGAGGGTCGTACTACGGGAGCGCATGAGACCAAAGGAGCTAGCACACAGCCACTAAGAACTGTGAGAGAGCGAGTTCACAAATACAGGACAATCGCTAAGCAGCGTGTGCCACGGGTGAGCAGGGAACCACGAAGCCGGGAAGATCACGGAAGAGCGACGGCCACTGTAGAACATGACATCCAACCTGTAGTACGGGGTAATGGAAGCGTACCAAACAACGATATTATACGGGTTCACATGAGACTACGGAATGGTAAGTGGTTAAGTACACGAAACCAAGCCCTACTGAGGTGAATGAGGATAAGAAGGTACGCGACACCAAGAAGCACTTAAATTTGAGGTTACCGCATCTCCAACGAAGGATGCCACTCCGCCGCGTAGCGGCGGCGAACGGCTAGTCCTAAAGTATCAAGGCTAGCACGGTGTCTGTCCGTCCGTCACACGAAACGCTCAGGTTTTTGAGCTTTATCATTGGCTGCCGAGCGGAGCGAAGGCGGCTTCGATTGGTTAAAACTGAATTATGTAGCTTACATAAGTTAATTCATGTGGTTCACAGAGCACATATGGAGATTTGCACAAGACTATCCATCATCCGATGGCGGCATCGTTTAAATACTACGCACGAAGTTTTAATTTGTACTGTTTTAAAATGGGATGTTGCTATTAATATTTGAGTGCTTCTTATTCTCAAATAAAATAGCCCCTAAAGAACTACAAGGTGCTTAACGTACACGTAGGAATGCGTGTTTTCGATGCCATACTATTAATATACGTAATACTATATTCTTAATAGTTTCTGCAAGAAGCAATGACTAAAAGAATAACTACAACTGTTTTTGTTGTAGATATATTAAGAATATCCTGAATGTAAGGTAACCGACTGAGCTGCCAAACAGAAGAACATGTACAACAGAAGCTGGCCGTAAGAGCAACGCTGTGCTAATAAACGTTGTCGCTTGAGCCACTAAGATAGATAGGTTTAGATTGAGCAAAAAGAACTTATATGTGCTGATGACAATTACTACTGTAAGCGATATCCGAAGGCGGCAGCGTTTTTATATTACGAAGTATTTACTTTTTAATAATGCATGTTGCTTTACTATTTGAGTGCTAAACAGAGAGAGCTACTTATTCTCAAATGAAATAGCCCCTAAAGACGCTTCCTATGCTGCAAGGTGCTTAGCGTGCACGTATGAATGCGTGTTTTGGAGGTCATACTATAATATACGTATACTATGTACTTAATAGTTTATGCAATGTACTGTACAATGACTTTAATAGCTACAACTATTTTGTTGTAGATATATTATCTAATTATCTGAGAGTGAGGTAACTACTAAGCTGCCAAATCGTAGTACATGTACAACAGAAGAGCTGGCCGTAACAGCTGGCCGTAAGAACAACGCTGCTAATAAACGTTGTCACTTGATTCACAAAGATAGAAAGTTTTAGATTGAATAAAACGAGCTCATGTGTGATACTGCTGTAAGCCATTGTTTTCTAAGAATTGTTTAGACAGCAAAATCCGATACAGCTTAACTGGCGGACGTGTCACCGACATAGGCGAAGGATAAAGTTTTAATTGGAGGATAGACAACAGCACAACATAAGAGCTGGTTAATTAGACACCATAACAAAACGTTAAACTTAGGGTATAGTTGATAGTTAAACCATTTTGGCATATATCAAATAAAAAAAACGCTGCCGCAAGCGTCGTGCGACGCATTATTCTAATGTTTAATCATAACTGACAGGTTCGACTGTCCAATGACTTTTGAATCAGCACAAAATGAAGGCTGCATGCATAAAAAGTATTACAATTCGAAAAATTTATAGTTTTCAGTGAGTTTTGAGTGAGAAGTTAGCAATTTTTAGTTACTTACAAGCTCAAATAGGCAGTACAAGAGAGTAAGAAGTGCAACCTGGATAGATCATTACTGTCCTTTGCATTGATGCGGGCTAAGTTTCACAGCGCCTCAGAACGGCCCATGATATCGAGCACGACGCCAAGCTAAATATATTCAATATCGTTTGTAGACATGCTATTTGAAGTGCTGGTGATTCTTGAGCTGGGCACATATCTGCCGTTAATGCCAGCACGACACGGCAAGCATGTGCCCGAGTCAACACGGACTGTATGATGCTCTCTAGGTAAACCTATCAAACTTCATGAAAATAGCGATGACTGACGAATGTCACGCCAGTACTTATGTAGTAGCCAACAATAATAAAGAGACTGTGTCAAGATCACCAGAATTAATATTTTTAAGCATGGTAAGTGTGATGCCAGGGGCTCAGCATTTTGTAGAAATAATTGCACGGCTTACTGGGAGCTCAGCATTTTGTAGCGACTGGTCTAAATTAAACCCAGAATTATGAAATTCATGAAGTACATAGGGGTTCATATTTTTGAAATAATTAACCCGCCGAAGCGAAGCGGAGGCGGCAAGGCCAAAGCAAGTAGAGCTTAACCTAAACTACCGCCGCTACGCGGCGGCGCTCGGCTAGTTATATATAATAATAATGTGCCTGCCGCTGTTCTTTTAACTCTCCAAATCCTTTAATTAATATCTGTAGTCTACTACTGTACTTCGACGTAGATATTATATCCATCTACCGGTATCGCTCAAATCACAAGAGCGCACTACCTACATGTACAGTACAGTGTAGGTATGGAAACCAGTAGGTGACTCTTGCATCATTTCTCACTTTGTTTATCGCCAGCCAGATGAAGCTCGCTGTTGCCCTCGCTACCGTAGCATTTGTCGCCGCTTCCGTCAAGTCTGAGCTCTGTGGCGAGCAGAATAAGACCGAGACTGACAATTACATTCTCTACAACAACCTCTGGGGTGCGTTTGACGACCCCAGAGGCCACCAGTGCAGGGGCCTTGATAGTGTTAATGACTCGACTATCGCATGGCACACGAGCTTTACCTGGAATGGAACTGCGTGGCAAGTCAAGTCGTTCGCCAACGCGGCGCTCAAGTTCGACCATGTGCCGATCGCGAACGTCACATCGATTCCCTCGGTTATCGAGTTTAACTTTGACTATGAGGGGAAACTGGTTGCCAACGTTGCGTTCGACATGTTCACAGCTTCAACCCTTGGTGGGACCGCCGAGTATGAAGTCATGGTGTGGCTCCAGGCCATCGGTGGAGCTGGACCCCTTTCGAATACGGAAAAACCGATCAAAGAGGTGAGCATTGGCGGCGTCAATTTCAGTTTGATCCACGGTATGAACGGTAACATGACGGTATTCTCCTATGTCGCCGCCAACACCATCAACAGTTTCTCGACTGACTTCAAGCAGTTCTTCAATGAGCTCCCAGCCATCAACACGATTGCGCCCGATCAGTACTTGATCAATGTTCAGGCTGGCACAGAACCCTTTGTTGGCAACGGCACGCTGACTGTGACAAAATACTCGACTGCAGTTCACACAGCTTAGAAGTAGACTGTAAAGACTACCGAATTGAAAGGTGCAATCCTTTTTTAAAGATTTTCCTTCTATCGTTATGACTAGGAGCCATTGTACATTTTTGGCATGCATTACAAATTATAACCCGGCTAACTGTGTGTTGTATTTTAACTTGCTCGGGAGCAGAATCGTGCGGGAGCTTCGAGCCCCCCCCCCCCCGCCCTCCTCCTCCTGATCCTTCGTGCTTCTTTATACTGACGAGCAAACGTGCAGTTTCTATTGTACAGAGTACCAGGTAGAGGATGGAAGTGACGCTCACACTCAATATTTAGCAATATAGCACTGGTTTCTAACAAACATTATCTATCGAGGACCTCCACACAGTGTTGTATGTAAACAGGCCTTCCGAATAATGCATTGCAGTGAAAATAATATGGCAATATTAGTATGGAATAATTTACTTTTCAGTTATGATGAAAAATTTCAGTAATGTATTTCCGGTATCGTCATAAATTAATTGTAGCCCATGCATCACAAAACTGTCCAATCCCAGCTAAGCAAAACTGAGAGCCAACCACTGCTTGGTTGGTTGGCAAGTCCTTGGGCGTGCATCGAGCTTAGTCCTCCTCATTTTCGGATTCACCATGTCTTTGACAGCTCCCTTCACTAACAAGCAAGTTTGTGACTTCTTCTTCCAGCCCGTTCTTGACAACTAGAATGAGCCGACGGGATACTTTCGCTGTCGCTGCTCCAAGATTCGCAAACAAGACAGTAAAACCGGCTACACTAACCTGATAGGCCACATCCGTGCACATACCCCAGCTATGCTGTCGACATTGCCAGCAGTGGGCTTGTCAGTGGCACCCTGATTGGGCTCGTGGACAAGGAGAGTCAAGTTACCTACAGCTGGATTGACTGGATTGTGAAATGCAATTATCCATTCAGCTTTCTCGACAACGAGACGGTGGCGAACTATGCTGCTGTACCCACGATCTCACCCAAGACAGCTGAGAAGTACATGGGCTTGGTAGTGAAAGCGCTGGAGAACTACATTTCAGGTATTCTTCCTAATTTTTTGGCATTGTTTGGGATGGATGTTCGTTTCGGTCGAAGCATTATGTGGCAGTTTTTGAAGTCTTCGGCCAAGACAGCAAGGCGGAGAAGATCCTGCTCGCCATGGCTCCTCTTGTGGATGATGACATCGGCGCGAAGAAAATCAGCTGAGTGAGGGGCTTCTTGAGGAGCTTAAAGCATTTGAATCCTTTTCGAAGAAGCTCCAAAAAGCCGACGGGTTGTCACTTCTCGACGTACGAGACATTTTCGACGCGCTGATCGCCGAACATTTTGGTGTCGAGCGGTACCTGGGGTCGGACGCAGGTATCGTCCAGCTACCTGAGTTCGAGGATGCCTGTGTCACCGTGCTCACCGGAAAGGCTAATAATCTTACGGAGTCTCAGTGCTCGCTGCTCCTACCGCTCGCTTCTCACGTTGCGACGCCCCAATTGTGAGGGCAAGAAGCTTGGGTTTGCGGACCGAGCGCTCAAGAAACGCAAAACACAACGTGACACGCCTTGTGAGTACCCAGAAATTGCGGTAATCCCGCCGACTTCCAACATGTTCGAGCGGTGTTTTAGTCAAACCTAACATGTCATGGGAAACCATCGCCAAAGACTGCTCCCTATCAACCTCGAGCTAATACTGTTTCTGAAGGTAAATCGCCATCTTTGGAATGTGAAAACCGTCGCTGATGTCGTTAATGCATCCAGATGAGATGTATTTTTAAAGAAGTGGTGTGATGTTGTTCTTACAATAACAATTACGTATTTTTCAATATCAAATATTTCTCTGCAAGTACTGATTTCACTAAAAAGCAAGAATCTCATTGAAGTTGTATTATCGGAAGGCCTGTATGTAAAGCTACGATACCTTGCTCACGCTATGAAATTAGATTTTGATAGCTGTGCATCGTCACGTAAGACAGATTAGCTTATCAAGTTTGACAAGACAGAACATATAAAAATCTTTACTTCCTGGATCTATCTAAAATTAAAACCCTCCGAAGATTCCGATCTTTGGATAGTTGGCAACTTTACTCAAAACCTTTTTATATTAAGCCGGCGAGCCAACAAAAGGTATGTGTTCGTTAATTTGGTAGCTTCGGCACCCTATAAGGGGGCCCTCTTGCTGTCGCGGCTCTGAACGACAACCCATTAAAACACCTCCCCACTTGCGGGATACCATAGCGAGCACCGAAAAACACAGCTAACCCATCTAAGACGAAGCTTTATTCTGTATCATACAGAAAAAAATACTATTGATTAAAGTAAACCTCGGCAACTGCAAACATTTCCTTCATACTATTAGCCCTTTCGCAGTTGGTGTGTGATAGACCCTACTAAATAGCACAAAAAAATCTACGAAGTTAGACAGAAACGCGTTGTATTTAAAGTTGAAACGCGATTCAATTGGCTGAGAGACGAGAAAAGCAACTGCTTCTATCGGTGAAGTTGATTTCCCGTTGAATCTGATCGGCACTAGCAAATATGCGCGCGAACTTCGAGCGACAATTTGGTTGGCTGCGCCACTTGCCGCGCTCTGCACCAAAATTTTCGGCCGGTTCCTCTCTACTGCTGTCTCTGTGAAATTTTGGTGTGTCGCCAAACTGGTAAGTGCTCCACTGATGTACGTGGTCGACGCAGCTTCCAGTTGTTGAGTTTGCACTCAGCGACGCGGTACACGCGTCCATGGGGTTCACGCCGCCCTACTTGAAGGGATTCCGTTATCTTAGAGTGCCTCTCACGCTTTGAGGAGACGCTGTATCCTCTATCCTAAGTGGGGATGGGGGCCATCGGAGAGCCGTTTTCTCCCAGATCTCGGATGTGAGACCGGTTTCGCTGCGGAAACAAGTGAAATTCTTTGTGGGAAACAAGCTGAGCATGATCAGTAGGGTCCGCGATGCCATGGCGGCGGCCCAGGACAGACAGAAGGAGTACTCTGACAAACATGGAGGAGAAACTTAACTGTGTTTAAGATCGGTGAATTAGTGTTATTAGACACGGGGAACCTACCGCTAGACACTGTCATCTCTGTCGGCAGCAACAAGCTGGAGCACTGCTTCTTTGGACTGTTCGTAGTCCTGGTCAGGCATGGTGCGTCGTACACCAACGACCTGCCAAAGTCCATGACGACGCACCCGAGATTATACATTGGATGTCTTAAGCGGTACCATGATCTGCAGAGGATTTGCTGACTCCCACACCCACCTTGGTCCAGCTCCTAGAAGCAAGGCCGGCCACAGACGTCGACGAGGGCGCTGGAGCAGGTACCCAAGTATCGGGCTGAACACAGCAAGGCTGCAGTCGAGACCGTACGCCGGAGGGACCCCGTACGAGCGAACCTCAGAGCCATACGCCGATTACGTCGGGTACGCACCATACGCGTACGGCTGGCAGTGCGCCGAAGGCGGCTCTGGACGTGGCAGCAGAGTCTCAACACGTCGGAATATGCGGAAGGTCTCGTCAAGATCGTACGAAGAGGCCTAGTGGTCCACCCGCTGATGTAGGCTCGTGACCTCCCGCGACAGCTGGTCCAGGCGGTACACAAGACGAGCAAGCACGTCCTGATTCCTGGCCTGAACGGCAGCATTACCGCCAGGCCAAGACCATGGGCAATCTGAAGCACGGAGGGGGGTCAGAGAAGGAAACGAGTGCGTGAAGACATTTAAACACCACAAAGTATCTTGCAGCCAATCAACTACATGCGGAATACGAACAAACCCTTTGCTCTATTCCATGCAATACACGCTCCTGACACGTATTTCGAGATCGTGCAGAGAATACGTCCCCACTGCTAAGTAAGTGCCCATGGCGAGGCAAAGTGCTGCTCTGCGATCGCTCGAGCACCATTGCGTATTTGAGCTGCATGATCATTATACAACGGCTGCGGGCATGCGAAAGAAGGTGACGCATTTCGCCAAAACGAAGTATACAAGAAAATAATTGAGCAATGTCTGAAGCCAGTACGCATCTGCAACGCAATAAAAATAAAAATGCAGCTAACGGGAAATATTGCACCAACATTGAGAATGGTGCAAAATTTTGTAAGTTGTTATTCACGAATGCGACTGGGGAACAACGATCGCTACTAATAGTCGTGAAATTGGTCCGGGATGCAGCATTTACGAGCTATGAAGAAGATACGCAACCATTCATGTTTGGGTGGGATTGGGGCCAGAGCGGCCAGCTCGTTGTTGGCAACGAGTCGGCTGATAAGTCGCCTTTCGTCTCGACAGATCTCCGAAGCCCGGAGGCAGTCACCGGTCCGCCTCCCTCGATCGGCCCGTAGCCTCGCATGTTCGCCCCCAGCGCAGGGTCTTGATTCTAGTTCCTTCGATTCGTCGACCCCTCCAGTTGATTGGCGGCTGCATGTCCTCGAAAAATGGGATTCCAAGGATGCAGTCGAATCTGTCGGGGATCGCGTACACGACAGCTACACACTTGTACGCTTCGTGCATACCAGACACCGCGACGTTAAGAGGTAGGACCTCCAGCTCTGTCTCGACGGTTTGACTGTCTCCAAGTCTGACACGGATGCTCTTATCGGCGAACTTCGCTGTCTGGAGCTGGTGCTGCTCGACCCAACGTTTTGACATGTAGAGTGTTGTAGCACCACAGTCCAACATCATACGCTGAGTGGAGAAACTCCGACCTCTCACGCTGATTTCACCTGTTACCGAGAAGAACGGGCGTGACTTGTAGACTAGAGGGTTTTCGCACAGAGCGTTAGGGCTGAAGTTCTCAATCTTAGATGTTCTGGTTACGCTCTCTGCCACGTCAGTCCCTCTTCACTAACGTGGTTGATCGTTTCCCAGTGTGCCTTGTTCTTTCTTCCAGGCAAAGTAGTTGGCTTTGATGTGGCCTGGCTTGTTGCAGAAATGGCAGATACAGCTCTCGGTCAGCTTGGTGTCAGTCTTTAGTTTGAACCGACCCCTTCCGCGAAACGACTTTCCCTTGGCTGGTCTGTCTTGCCCC